ATGGAATTCATAACACTTTTCATGTGTGTTATTTGAGGAAGTTCACAGGAGAAGTTCCCGACATAATTCAAATCTCTGAATTGAGAATCAATGAGAACAAAAGGTTGATTGAAGAACCCGAGGCAATTGTTGACCGAAAGACTAAGAAATTGCGACGCAAGATGGTTGGGTTAGTGCTTGTCCGATGGAAACACACGAATGGGCCGAATCTCACCTGGGAGACGGAGAGTGATATGATAGGTCGCTATCCGCATTTGTTTGTTGATGTGTGATTCCGGGGACGGAATCATTCTAAGGTGGAGAGAATTGTAACGCCTGTGTTTCCGGGCTTTCCATTTTTAGCAATGTAATAGTCTAAGTTAACCTTTGTAACCCGTTTTGAAATAATAAGAATGTATTATTTGAGTATTATGTGTTTTGTGCTTAATTGCTTAATTATGTGGTCTGATTAATTAAGAATGTAAAAATAAGTGTCAAAATTTAAGTGTAAAATGAACTTAAAATCTTTGGTTAATGTTGTAGTAGTTGAAACGAGGTTTCCGAATATATATAGAACGCCCAAATCTGACTTCGTATGAGGAAGTTATGATTTATCGAAGTTTCGACTTAGCGGTGTGCAGCCTGAAATACTCGATTTCAGATCGAACGGTTTTTAGCCAAAGCAATCTAAATGAGAATCGAAGATCTCATTGTTTGTATCAAAGCGATAAAAAGTTAGGCAAGAATGGACCGGACGTCAAACGAAGAAGTTATGAATTTATAACGAAGTTTTTCTGTCGCGGCCTATTAAAAATAAATAATAAAAATAAAATCAAAATTAGCCGACAGAGTCTAAACGAAAGTTGTAGATCGTAGTCTCACCTTTACGTGGATATAAAGAACATCGAAAACGGAGTTCGTATGAAGAAGATATGAATTTCCGAAGTTTGATAAATAATTTGTATTTATTTTTATATCAAAACTCCGGCATTATCCGAAGGGGGAGTCAGCAGTCCGATCCGACTTACGCCCCGCGTACTTCGAAGAGTGTTGACACTTCGGATGACGCATGCAGTGACGATTTCGGAAGCAGTACGCGTTGCGTACTGCAGTACGCCCCGCGTACTCCGAGGCTCCAGCCTCCTATAAATAGGATGCGAAGGCAGCCGAGTCTTTTGCCAATTTCTTCTCTTCTCTCTCCCGTTTTGCATCGTTTTGCGTGCCAGAAATACCCCGAAGCCCCGGTATTATTCTCGAGCCCCGAGGCAAGTCCCGAGATCCCGAAGATCCCGAGAAGTGCGGTTCCCGAGCCGAAGCTCTGCCCGCGAGAAGTTTGATTTTTGTGGAGATCTTCCAGATCATCTGTGGCTTACTACTTCTGCAAGTCGTAGTGTTGTCCGATCATCTTCTGATCAAGTGTGTGTATACTACCTTTCATAAACACGATAATAATACAAGTGCTGTTTGAGTGTATTAAGTAGATTGTGGTTTATATGTGTGAGGGTGCAGTTACTTTCCTCTAACAAGTAACTATGAAGTATTTTATGCGATATACTTGTTATGTGTATATTTTGTGATTGTATGCGTGAATGGATATTCACTTTATTCCATCTCATAGATCTGAACTGCTTTCTATGAAATACGTGTTATGTGGTATGCCTCATCTGTTATGTGGAATATATATATATTGAATGAAAATGATATACATGTTATTAACTATGTATGAAATTATATATTCTTATCTACTAATATGTTGGGTAGAACACGGGTAGATAGTCGGTGTGTAATAAATAGATGAGAGGCCTCGATGTTGTTGTTGCTGTTGATCTAGTTATTCAGCGGAGTATGGATAACGACCACGGACTCTTTCTAGACAGTCTAGTGGAACGCTAGCAGGTTCATAACCTGTAGGTGTTGTGAATGATGTGTTCACCGGTGTACTCTATCCCCCTCATGGTTGCCTTTAGGATATCTATTGTTGAGGAAACCCCTTCGCAGTGATGTCCGTCCCGATGAAAATCCTAGATTAGGTCCCTTGAGATAGTTATTGTTTTAGGGACGTAAAGTGAGGATAACGGGAATGGGTAATCGGGATAGTGATTGGTTGGTGAAATTAAATATAACTTATTTATTGTGGGTTGAAAACCCTATATGCTCACCAGGCTCCCAAGCCTGACCCACTCAGTTTTATTTGTATTACAGGAAGTGGCACAAGGGTGTAAGATGGATGGATCATCTTGTTGTTTTGTTTACAAGTCTGTATATATATATATTTGTTGAATGACTTGTAATGTTTATCGTTTATGCTTCATGGTCTGTATCAGAACATGACATCCCGAGTTTTGATTATATAATGAAATGCATCTCTTGATGAAATGCTTTGATAAATATTATTTTATCATGTTTTGTTTTAGGAACAAATTCCGCAACTCTTTCAAATCAAAAAGATTTACTCTGAAATTATTTTAAAAGCATAAATGAAAATCGGTCTTTTCTGGCCGAGATTTTGGGGATGTCACATTGATCATCATAGAGGAGTTCATAGCATACTTGGCTTATCTATAAATTCTCATTTTCACAACAAAAATTTTCATTTTTTTAAGGTAAAATTATCAATTTATTAATGAATTACTAAATAAAAAAACATTTATTTAAAGTGACATTTATTAATTTCAGAGTATTATAGGAAACACAGAATCTTCAAAGTTGCCGATGAGTGTGTACAGTCCCGCCTTTTCCTTCCCGCAATCACTAATGATACCTGAAACAACAAACAACTGGGTAAGAATAATTAGTGAGTTTCCTGCAAAATACCTCCACATAAATAGATCACATATACAATCAAACACGTCGAGTCCAGTCAACCAGCGGGTTGGAATACCCCAGGCCTAGTCAACCTCCAGGTCCAGTCATCATCGGGATGGAATACCCCAGGTTAGAATGCCAATATATAACAGGTCGAATCAGCCATCGGGATGGAATACCCAGGGTTTGTTGGCCTACCACCTCAACCCTACTTCTCTTCCTGAGTCTACGTGCCTACGGCTTATAGTCGGCTCGCATTAGGTATCTTGGCCTACCACACAAAGCAAGACCACCTCAACCCAAACCAAACACAATATGTCGACATATAAACAATCAGGATCAAATAAGCACATAATACATGCAACAACAATCATACAACTTACTACTTCCTACTAATCCTCTCATAACATACAACCCCACTACTAGGTATCCCCCATAGAATGCCTAACCATGAGTAACCAGAGGTAAGATAGCTACCCGAACAGATGGTCCTACTCTAGAGCCACAACCAAACAAGGAACATGCAAGAGAGCCTAGACCAAGAGTTCTCAGGCTATCCTACATGACCACTAATAGTCCCTAAGGGCACTCCATAGATGATACCCAACAAGCACATATAACATACAGTTCTACAGATTATTACCACAAGCAACATACTCAATACTAGGAGACAGATCTAATAGATCCATACAACATAGTAGCATACTCGATACCAGCACACAGATCTAACATATCACTACAACATAGTATCATACTCAATACCATAACACATATCTAGCAGATCACTACAGCACAACAACATACTCAATACCAACATATAGATCTAACAGATCATTACAGCATAGTAGCATACTCAATACCAGAACACATATCTAACATATCACTACAGTATAACAACATACTCATTATCAACAATCCAAGGAAAGCATGACCGTATATACTCAGAGGTGAGATAGTCACCCGGACAGATGATCCAACTCTAGAACCACAACCGAACGAGGAACATGTAAGAGAGCTTGGATCAAGAGTCCTCAGTCTATCCTACATGACTATATACAGTCCCTAAGGTACCCTTCTACTAACAGATAACCAAAACTAGTGGGCCGACATTGGTGCCTTCGAACCACAAGTATAGTGAGGCGAAACTTACCTCGATATACGTGTAGGTAACTACTGTAGAAATGAAGACTCTATCAGCTTCAACTCACTTCCAATCACCTATAGGAAGATACTTGAGTTAATACCCGATCACATATCATAGTGACTTGCAACAGTGACCACCTCACATGAAATGATGATTAGGATTTCATATAAAATGATGATTAGGGTTAAGTGAAAGCACTTAACCCATTAAGGACTTAATCACCCGAGGGCAGGATTGATTAAAGTTTGACTTAGTTATTCTCATGTATAATAATAATCCAATTAATAGCCCAAATGTTTCCGATCATTTTCCAAAATAGGGATTCCAGATTCTAGGGTTTCCACATAAAATGATAATTAGGGCTAGTGTTCCACACTTAACCCCTTAAGTACTTAATCCACTAAGTCTAATATTGCATTAAGTTAATTGTAGGACATTATTAAGTGTTATTTAAAGTTTAATTAACAATTTTAACACGGGTCTCGACCAACTCCAAAATTAGGTTTTTCTTGACATTATGGTTTTCTAAACCCTAATTAGGGTTTTCCAACCCCAAACTCGCCACTCGAACTAAAGTTAGATGTTTATGTCATTAATTGCTTAATAAATTGGGCGCCACCCACTGCCACCTCGGGCAGTGGTGGTCGGCGGCATTCCATGGCGGTGGTGGTGGTTTTCAAGTCAAAATTTGGCAACAAGCACCAAATACATTATTTTATGCAGAAAAGCACATACATACATTAAATCATGCACACAGCCACCTAACATGATGGATGGTGACAGCATAAGGCGATAGCAAGGTGGCAGCCACCATAGCTGGTTGCCATGGTGGTTCTTCTCGTTGGTTCATCCAACCATACAACTACCGCATAATGCCATACACTAAAACACACACACAACACAGCCACCCACACGGTTCCAGGATGTGGTTGGAGATGACAACCACTACCTCACGGTGGTGGTGGTGGATTCTCTTTGATTCCGGCTAAGCAAACACATACACACACGACTTACACTGGAATACACACCCCACAAACGCAGACATACATAATATGGTAACATACACCCAAACTCAACCACCCTCACGGTGACGTGTGACACTCAGACGAGATGGTGGCAACGGAACAGCCGCCGGAGCGGCACCGACGACGTAGCAGCAAAACAAAATGGAGAAGGAAAGGAGGCGTGATTCTTCACCGAGAAGAAGAACATCGACCATCACCGCCTTGCTTCTTCCGATCGTTCGCTGCCATGGTGTCCCAACTATTCTATCACACGTCTCCAAACACACGTAACTTCATGTTTATATAACAAGAATTGAAGTTAGCTAAGGATTCGATTAAGGTTTGGGTTTAAAACCAAAACGAAACCGGAAAACCCAAGTACAAACTGAAAACCGAAACACCAAACCGATGGGTTTGGGTTCGGTTTGGTTTTAAAAGTTTCAAAACCGAGGCTGTTGGTTTTGGGTTCGGTTTTCAGTCAAAGTTAACCCGACCCGCCCCATGCTCAACCGTTGCGGTGATACCCCACATATAAAAAACTGGGATACCCCTTTGAGCCTAGTTCCGCCGCTGACTTGTTGGATCTGTTGAGCAACCTCAATATTGCAACTGATGAGCTGACCACCATGATGGTATTGATTGTCGCCATTTAAGCAACAAAAAAGCCACCACAAAACTCGATGTGCCACCAACAGATGCTACCATCATTTCTGCCTTCATGGTTATCGAGTCTTGATCCATTTTTCTAGTCTAATAAAAATGGATTATGAATTACGTGTAGAGTACGTATGTAGTAAAAAGCACCCATATGGGTTCTTTTCTAAGGGAATATCTAATTGGAGAAGGGCAGAGATCATTGTAAGCGTCTATAGTAAATTACAAAAGATGGGTATGGCATTTGAAGAAAAAAATCAGGATTAGTAGATTCCTTATTCAAAAGTTTGACCCCTGAATTGCATACAATACTGTCAGTACAAAGCATTGCACGCAAATTAGCTAAGGGGTTATTTGATAGTTTCTGACTGAGTTAGTTCTGACTGAGTCAAGACTCGATTGGGTCTGACGTTCTAATAGTATCTGCCTCTGACTGAAACTTTGTTGTTTGATTACGCATCTGACTGACTGTGCTGACTACTAAAAATGACCATCTTACCATTCTTTTTGTTTTGAGTCGAATTAAATGTATGTTTGATTTAATATTTGAATAAAACTGATGAATAGTCTAAACCAATAAAAATGTCATTTTCTTTTTATGAAATCAATCCTCCAAAATAAACTTTTAACTAAACATATATTTGAGTGTTATAACCATTAAAAATCTTTTGTAGAATCCCCACAATATAATATTTCAAACAGATCATTGGACTTTAAATCATTTTGGCTTTCTTTTTTCATTCTACAAACTTTGTAATTGCTAAACGAATCAATGGAAAGTACAAACAGACCATGTGTTGGCTAGATTTATGTCATTAAAAATCCATTAACCATGTTTTGTTCTTTATAATCATTGTCCCTAAATTTCATCAGACTAGAGATTGTCCCTTCTACAGCTCCATCTTTCTACAATGCTTCTGGATTTCCTTCACAAATATGTCAAAATGATCAGAGGGCAAGTTTTGTATTAGACAACTCCAGACCTGTGATTATGTCAAATCCGAAAGAGATAGTTCGGTCATACATAAATGACATCAAATTTCTGCAAATAAATACACAAAAAGCATCTGATTTCAGAAAATACATACACAAATAACATCAAATTTCAGAAAAAACATACATATATGCATCTAATTTCAGAAATAAAAAAAAACAAAGGAATTAAGAAAGACATTTGAGGAAATTAGAAAGGCATTTGAGATATAATTGTATAACCAGGGGATCCCTTTAGGATATTACATAAGAAATTACATCGGAACTAGAGTATATCAGTATTAAGCAAGCAAATCTGTTGTTAAACACGAAGCTTAAACTGGTCCTGGTTTTTTTTAATGATTTTCGGGAATGCTTGAACTGGTCCTGATTTTTTATGATTTGTGGGGCAAATTCATCGTATAATTTGATTCTATAGAAAAATGTGTTGTCCAATTCGATTCTACACACGTCAAATGAAGAAATTAAGAGCACATACCTGATAAGCGGAAGTTCAAGAACCAAAAACGGATTCAGTAGGAAATCAATCTCTTCGATATGCATCAACCAAGTCGGATACGAAGAATCGTAAATCATCATAGCTTCATATCACCCGAAAAAGATAAGGAACAAGAGGATGTACAACATTCCTAGTGATGAATCGACTATCCTCACACATGTGGGAGAATATGGAAGGAACGAAGTGGGAGGCTGAAGGAAGAACGGGACTAGGGATTGAGAAGGAGAAGGGCACATGAGGGTAAAGAAAATATGTTGTCACGGTCGGTCAGATTCATTTTTTCAATGACCGGGTAAGATATCAATGGACCGAATAAGAGTTATAGTTGCTAACTGGGTTAGAATTAACTGGGTTGAAGTAGAGTTAATTTTTTATCGAAACTTGTTGTTTGATTTTCCATCTGATTGACAATGTAAAAAGACTATATTACCCTAAAAAAAATACTTTTTTTATACTAATTTATAATTCATTAGGTTAATGGTTAAGGTCAAACAACTCAACATCTAGAACCATACACATAATAATACTATTGTACCCAAAATACCCTTGCTGATTAAGGCAACAACAAAACGAACAAATATACATGACTTTTATGCCCAAAATACCACTGCTTCAAGGTTTCATTAAACTTTATAAAACTTTAACTAGTATTTAACAAAAGTTAACTAGAACAAAAATATATATATATATATATATATATATATATATATATATCAAACTTCAAACACAACACAACTCTGCTAAAACAAACGTAATCCATATTTCCACATTACTCATTTAATAATCCAAAAATTAACAAAATGCACAGTAGTTCTCATGAAGGATTAAAGTTTTGCATTTATAACCAGACATATACCAATTAATATCATATGTGAAGAGAATTGTTATCAATCTGATGAGCAAATTCCATATTTCCACATTACTCAGTTAATAATCCAAAAATTAACAAAATGCACACTAGTTCTTATGAAGGATTAAAGTTTTGCATTTATAACGATACATACCAATTAATGTCAGATGTGAAGAGAATTGTCACCAATCTGATGAGCAAATTCCTCAAGTAAACTTACAATAATAACTTAAATTACAGGAAGTTTTCCATAGATGACCCATACTCAACAAGCAATTCACTTGATATAGTTACAGGGAGTGAATACCATAAGAAAATGAACAACTGGCTCAATTATAAGAAATTGTCAAAATATGAATTTTCTAATAACATAAATGGTAATTTTTGATTTTCAGTTTCGAGAAAGCAATGAATAAACAAATTCATAACTATTTTGAAAAAGAAAAAAAAGTAACAAGTAGCTAATCTGATTTATCAGAGGAGTAATAGACCTTACAGTCAAATTTGCAAGGACGATCGGCACCAGAGGAGGAAAGCGTTTGCGGATGGCTGGTGACAGACTATCAGGAAGGAAGCAATGGTGCAAGTCGTTCACCAGTGACGATGGAGGCAGGAGCGATTGTGGTTAAAATCGGAACAACTCTCAATTGGAAGGAGACGGAGCTCAAGGTGGTAGCGCGGAAGGGGATGACGAAATCACCGGGAGGAAGAGGGAGGAGGGACACAGATCATGTCATACATGGACGAGAACAGATGACAGGTCTCCGGTTGCTAGGTTAGAGAAAGATGACAGACTTTGGGTGGTCGTCGGTAGCAGGGAGAGCAGGGGACAGGAATCGCTTTTCTTCTTTGGATGCGTCTTCAGTACGGAAAAATTGGAATCGAAGGCGTTGATAATCTTTTGTGCCGATCCTTCTCATTTGAAGAAGGGACCGAATCAATGAATTATGATGGACCGAATCCATATCTTGGACCGAGTCCATGACTTTAAAAACAATATCAAACATGCTGAATTATGTTCTTTTGGATCCGGTCCTCTTTTGGACTCCGTTAGAAACTAAATCAAACGACCCCTAAGTGATATTTTTACACACAACAAACAAACTGATTGGGTCGAGTAACACATTTTTGTCTAACCGGAGCAGTAAGACCACAATCAAATAGCCCCTAACTTGATTATAATTTTATTTGGGACTTTTCTTACTAAAAAAGCTATCTATTTTTAGTTTGAATTTGTTGAGCGTTGAATCTACAAATTTTCTATAAAAACTTATTCTAAAAGAAAATGACAGAATTGCATACCTCACAAACTTTGCGACGAAGTGTTACATATAAAAAGATATATACGTCAATAGATGGTTACATAAATTTATCATAGTGAAGAAAAACTAAAAGAGCTCTGTAGATTTATATACGCTTAGTATCATCAAATAGCTTATATTTTAGGTTTTTTTAATTATAAATATTACTTTTATCCAAAAAAAAAAAAAATTGTATTTTTTCATTTTTTTCAATTTATCATGTTTATAGGTCATTTATAGGTTTTAGACACTTGTTTCCGGAAAACCTTCAAATTTTTATTTTTTTTTCCAGAAAAAAAAATCATATTTAACAATTCTTTTTGAAAAAAAAATTGATGGTTTTTTCGGAAAAAAATATTTTTATGGATGAGGTTTTTCCGAAAAATGGTCCAAAATCAGAAGATTATTACGGTTAACCTTTAAAAGGATCAAATCAAAACGAATAAAAATTGCAAATTCTTTTATAAAAGAGTATAATCAAAAAGAAAAAAAAAAACTCAAAATATACTTTATATCATATTTATGTTATACTATTTTATAACCCGTGATAACCACGGTTTTAAAACTAATTAAATTTTCATAGTAAAAAAATCAAAATTATTAATTAATTATATTAATTAAATTGTTAATTAAGATATATTTTTTAATTATATAAAATCATTTCATTGGTTTAAATAAATACGTGGTATTATAATTTATATTAATGTTTATTTTAATGTTATTAATTTAATATAATTAGAATGAAAATTTTTAAATTTAAAATTTAAAATGAAGAACCAATAGGTTGGTATGTCATTAATTAAAATAATTTTTTTTTTTTTATTAGAATAGGTATATATTTAAGGTATTGATTGATATATTGTGGAAGATATGACGCAATGTTTGTTTCATGAAACCCCTTGCGGGGTTGTGTGCATGTTGCAAATGGCTGCCGCCACTCTCTCGTTTTCACTATTGACTACCCAAAATTAATGCCAAGATTGACCTTTTGGTTTCCCACAACACTTTTTGTTGCGAATAACACACAAACGGATAAGACCGTAATCTGCTACTTCATCGGGATGATACTGCTCTATCGCACCCTTTTCTGTACATGACGTGTATATATATTTAACTCCCACTAAACTAGGAGCTACGTACTATGATGCAAAATCACCATTAATTTCACAGCACAAAACATTTCTTATAAGAAATAAAGAAAACCTTTTATCAAAGTTTCGTTTACATCAATATGTGTATGAAGTATGAACTAAACAAGATCCGTATGTCTACATGTTTCCTAAAAGACTGTATAAGTGTATATAGCATCATAAAAGAAGAGAAAAAACCTAGTATGTTTCCGAGTATATATATTATATGTATATCAACTAGCTATATCACAAGTAACTGCAACTCTCAGAAAGGTTGGAGTGGAGATCCTGGCTAAAGGAATTGGTTAGCCATTCGGCCATGATCTCAAGAGCTAAGAACCCATAACTGCTCATCATCTCATACAATTTCTTCAAGTAAACTATGTGCTTTTGGGTGTCTTGATCATGGAGACCAGAGATTATTGGGGTTCTACAAAGTGGGCAGTTTGAATGGTCTTTCAACCATGCTTCAACGCACTCAACATGAAACCCATGTCTACACCTTTCTAACATTGCAAAACTTTCTCCCAACACTACCTCAGACAAACACACGATGCAATCAACTCGAGAGCTACCAACACCAATCTCCTTCACCACGAAGCTGCTGGTGGTGTTTTGGTGGTCGTGGGTGTTTAGCACCTTGTCTAACCAAGTCTTGATGGGCGTCGTTATGGAATCCACAAATCCTGCTATCATAATCATCATCATCATCATCTTGATGAACAATTTGTAGTAGGCGGGAAAGAAAGAAGATGGAAGCGACGTCTTTTTTGGTTTGGTTGCAAAAGTGGATTCGTGGCCTAATTTATAGGCCCTGTTGCCTGATATGATATATGACAAAAGATAAAAGCTAAGAATTAAATAGATTGGTTATGTATCTATTTAGAAGGAAAGAATGCTTTTAATAAGGCGTGCTACATCTTCTTTCCAAATATGCTGAATGGCGCGCAGTAGGCCATGTTGAAGAATAATTAAATATTGCCCTTTAAAGTGATGCTTGTTTTCTTTGAATTTAAGCAAGTTAATCGATTATTAAAGCTATGTATACTTTGTGAGCAGCTAATTAATAGGGTATTTAATTTAGTTTTGAATATTACTTACAAAAATAAAAGCACTTGGTTTGTTGTGGATGAAGATGATAACAGAAGTGATCAAGTTGCTGCTCCACGTGAAAGAAAAAGAAATTAACAGACCAACAAGAGTGGACCATATGTCATTAAATACATATATATTTTATATTAAATCATCCATAGTTAAACGAACACGATGGCTTTTGATTTTTCACATGTCTTTCACGAGTCCATCATGGTTTTCCATACAATCTTTGTTTCAACTACCAATTTAATATATATCGTTTAGTCATCGTGTCAATGATATGAAATTGACAAGGGTGAAGTGAATAAAGTAGAGCGAGGCATATGATTCAGTTATACGTCGGCGTGTGTAATTGGATGACCGTGTGGACTCGGAAGGATTAGATTTAAGCAAAGAAAGTGGGGAAGGCTTCTTCACGCGGGATACTTTTAGTTCACACATTGCTAGTCAAATAATTGTATTACTACCAAAGGGCCTTCGGTCTGAGTTTTTTTGTAAAACTAGGATGGTATTTAAATCAAATTGTAGAAATAGGTTTGTTTGGAAAACCTTTGTAGAAAACTAGAAATAGGCTGGCCTTTAAAATAGGTCTATCTTTAGCAATCTAACTTCCTATCTCTTATTTGTAACGTTTTTTTTTTTTTTGAAAGAGCTTATTTGTAACGTTTCTAACTAACAAATTACATTTATAACCTTCATAAGTTATAATTTTCAATTTTCGCCCTTCAAAATTTATCTACTTTGTATTTACTTTTTTTATTATTGAAAACACCAAATTTTATCATTGTTATTAATTACACATAATTAATTTATTTAAAGTATATAATGTAACATCCGGATTTTCAGGCATGACAATCCGAGTACTTCTTCTTGAGTTATGAGGAGTGACTTGACGAGTTGACGCCTCAACTCGTCGAGTAGAATCTTGACTCGGTGACCAATTTAAGGAAGGGACTCGATGAGTCGGGTATCTGACTCGCCGAGTCAACGCTGTTAAGGAAAACCCTAATTGTCCGAGTTTGGGACCTATTTAAAGGTCCTTATGGCCTGTAGTGGCGGCCACCTACACCTTTGAGAAACTCATTTGGAACCAGAGAGCTTAGAGAGTGAAGAAGAGCCATTTTGGGTCTTTTTGGTGTGACATTGCAAAGGAGAAGGAGGGTTCTAGCATGAGGGACTATAGGAGGTTGACATTTTGAGACTTTGAAGCAAGGAGATTCACTTGGAGGTAATAAACCGAACCATTCCTTCTGTATGGTGTCGATTTTATGAATATGGAGTTTCTTGGCCCCTTTTATTTTAAGGAATATGAAGTATATGAGGTCCCATTATGGAATAAGCTTTAGATCTGGACCTTAAGAGGTCCAGAGAGTCCCAAACTTCCATCTTTATGCAGTCCCTTTGGGGTTATGGATCTAGGTTGCCATTCTAGGAGCTATTTCTTCATATAAGGGCATAAGAGTGTTGCATGAATTTAAAGATTGAACCTTTGCGTGATTATTGGGTGTAAGAAGGTCAGATCTATAAGTTAGAGAAAAAAATCTGACCTCAGAAGGTCATTTGAGTGTTGCCATGGAGGGAACTCACCGAGTCCATATGGGGACTCGACGAGTCGAGTCGGGTTGCCCCGCGATTCGTGACCAGTGGTAACTCGTCGAGTGAAAGGTTAACTCAACGAGTCGAGTGAGGCTTTTTGAGGATTCAGAGGACACGCATGGACTCGCCAAGTCACCCATGTGCACTCGACGAGTCTGGTCAAAGTTTGATCGTTGATTTCAGTTGACCTTGGGGTTTTGGTCAAGCTGATTCAAGAGAGGTCAAAGAGGGGTAGAATGGTCTTCTACCTGTTATTAGAGATGAGAACATGAGAGGTTCTGATTAGTGATGTTATCCTGTTGATAGGAGGAGGCTAGGTCGGGATATTCGAGAACAAGAGTTTATCCGACTTCATACGAGGTGAGTCTTCTCACTATACTGTACCTGGAAGGGTACCTATATGTGATCGGAAGGTCTTATATGCTATGAGATGTATGTGCTATATACTGTTATGTGATATGTATATGTTATGTATGTTATGTACCAAGGAACAAGTAGGGTTGGGTGATCGAGTGCGAGTATACTCGATCGAGTCTCTGGTACCTTTGTGTTGTGTTTCAGACACATCATGGTGGGTACACATCACACACCAGAGAGCAGCGGAGTTAGCAATGACGAGATTCGCAGGATGATTCGTGATGAGCTGGCCGCGAACATGCGTGAATTCATACACGAGATGTTTGGGTCTATCGAGACCACGTCGGTTGAGACATTCGGTGAGCGATACACTGCTGTTTCGGAAGCTGCTGCTGCTGCAGCCATCGAAGCTGTCGCGACTGCTAGGCCACGAGGGAGTGACTCGTTGCTGTACCGGGAGCTCAG